TTTGATATGCCCAAATAGGCTGCTCGTATGAGCTAGTTTGATTATTGGCACCTTTGAAGTTCTAATGTCCTGTCACCAGGTGGTTAGATCTGTTACTAGGTATGTGAGCTCAGGAGTCCACCCACTCCTCCTGTATGGATTCAGCTCAGATGCCCAGGTAGATAGCTACCAAGTGTGTGTTGCAGGCTTTCATCTACAGTCCTAGAGAGGCATGGATGATTGGTGAAGGCAAAGGCATCCAGCTGCAGCAGGGGGACACACTCTGAGCAAGGTAGGGTGCTGACGGCCGCTCCCGAGTGTCCAGGAGGAAGGCGTGTCCCTGTTCCCTGGAGAGTGTAGGTGAGTGGGTTTTGCAGCTGGAGTATGAGCAGCTAATGCTGTTGGCTGTAAGGACTGGGGGCATCTCTTATTCATGGGCCCCTTTTGCCAGTGGCCAGGTGGCGTGGTTGGAGCCACCAGTCCTCACGCAGCTGATGTGGTTAGGTGAATTCCCTGCTTAATGGGCAGAGCAGTGTCAAATGTCAAGAACTTGCCACTTCACAGCTGAAACAGTAGAAGTTAGAGTTCCGGTATATACCCTGTTGTACTGTGGTAATGAGGGCCTGTGCTGTTGAGATGGGCCCCCACAAGTCTATGCAGGGGGAAAGGCACTCAAAGTCTGTGGATCCTTCATGCCTGTGCCTAGGCAAAGGAGCTGTGCCTACTCCGGATTCCTGGCTTAGGGGAGCCGGCAGTTTATTTTTTCCCGTTTGTTAATTTGTTCACTCTCCAAGGCAGGGAGAATGGCTCTGGGCTTGTGACGGATCCTACTTCCGGCTCAGGGGACTCGGCAGTTGCTGAAGTTGGTCCAGGATGCAGTATAGAGCAGGGAGCAGGGTGATAAATGGGAGAGAGGTTTTTCCCTAAGCAGGGTGTTTTTGATCGGCTCAGTAAGCCATATGCAAGTACTTATCTTTTGCTGATGAGGGCTGCTTCTCACTGGTTCTGGGTGGCGGTGTAGATTCTCTGGCACTGGGTCTCTCCTGGTGTGGAAAACGTACCTCCTGAGCATCGCCACTTGCCTGACTCACTGCTCACCCACGAGCTGCTCAGGTCTGAAGGGCTCACGCTCTCGCCAGGTCAGGTCTGGCAACTCCTTGCTGCTTCCAAACTGTCTCTCCCTCCCCCTGCCACTCAGTCCAGTTCCTCAACTCTGCCTTTTATGTTCAGGGTTCCCAGATTGACATATAGAATCGAATCATTTGTTTTTTCGGGTCTTTGTTGTAAGAGGGTCCACCAGAAGCGTTTGACTACTCTGCCATCTTGGTCCTGCCTCCTCGTAGAAAATTTTCTTTATAAACTGTTATGCTAATTGAACTAGATGTCTCAGGGCTCTGTAGCCCTCAACCCAGTAATTTAGTCCCTCATGGGGTCTGGATATATCTATGAAGCTTCTGTGACCTTGCCTTGGTCAAGTTGTGCTAATTCCCCGGTATTGTGTACTGTCTTACCCTTCCTCAAAGTTACCAGTTATCTACTGTCTATTTAGTGTTTTTCCCTCCCCATCCTTTCCCTCCCTAGTAACCATCAAAGATTGTTGCTTTCTTTGTGTAAACCTTTTCATGAGTATTTATAATAGTGGTCCATGTTTGTTTTAAATGTAAGTAAATATTATGTTTGTACTTTAAAATATGTCAGCCGTTATTTATTTATTTGTTGATTGGTTTGTTTAACTTTTTATTTTGAACTAACTTTAGATTTACAGGGCAGTTGTAAGAGAGTACAGAGAGCTTCTGAACTGAGCTTCTGAATTCTTCCAGAGCTCTCTGGAAGACTATTATCTAATAATATTTACCTCATAAGGTTATGCAGAGTAAATGAAAAAAAGATAGAGTGCTTAGCGTTTTAGTAAGTACTCAGCCCTTAGTCGATTCTGCCTCATAGCAACCCTATAGGACAGAGTAGAACTACCCCATAGGGTTTCCAAGGACTGGCTGGTGGATTCGAACTGCCAACCTTTTGGTTATCAGCCAAGCTCTTAACCACTGCACCACCAGGGCTGCCAGCACTTAGTAAGGGTGTAACAAATGGTAGTTATGATAATAAAAGTTCTGTCTTTAGCCTTTTTCTTTTCCTCTATATAAGTATACTCTCCAAGATAATCTTAACTCCTGCAGCTTTAACATCCTCATGTACCTGACTCCTAGATCTGAATTTCCTAAGCTCTAGTCCCACATTTCTAGTCACCCTCACACAGTCATTCAAATTGTTGTTCCACTACAAATAGCACTTTGCTTTTATCTTAATTTTTACAAGAGCCCCCTGAAGGCAGATAAAGTATTAAGATCCAAACTTCATAGATGAGGAAAGTAAAGCTCAGTGAGATTAAGTAGTTCAAGGCAACAGTACGTGACAGAATCAAGATTCAAACCCAAGTATATCTGACTGCAAAGTCCATAATCTTAACTACTCCACAGTACTGTATACACAGGAGATTTGGTTGTTGAGAGAAAGATTAACAATGGCATCCAAAGTAAAGTCTTGCTTCATAGGCCAAAATTCACAGATACTCCACTATAGAACTTCATTGATGGATAATATTTTAGAACCAAGATCCTATTTTCTAATAGTTGTATTGCTTGATTACTTATATCTATAAATAAGGTTGCTGAATATTGGTACATTATGGTTTCTTTTTCCCTTTCAGTATTCTTTTCAGTACTGATTTCATGATGGATTCTGAAATACTCTTTTCTTTACAGAAAAACCATGCCAGATGGATCATCTGGACCGAATCCTTCTGTCTGGCATCTATAATGTACGCAAGGGAAAGACTCAGCTGCATAAGTGGGCTGAACGCCTGGTTGTTCTCTGTGGCACCTGCCTCATTGTTTCCTCAGTGAAGGATTGTCAAACTGGAAAGATGCACATTTTGCCTCTGGTTGGGGGAAAGGTAAGATTCGCAAAGATGAATTATTGTTCATTTGATTTTCTTAGTTAAGAAAACATCACATGTGCTTTTCTAGCTTTATTTCATCTTTTTAAAGAAGCCTACGTGAAATTATTAAAGATTACTTACAGAGTTTGTATTTTAGAGTTCTTAGATTTAAATAAAAAAAAAAAAACAACTTAGTCTAATTTAAGCTAAAAAGAGATTTATTTCCCAGACTCTTTGTCGGGGGCCAGAGGCTATCCATGCCCAAAATCCTGCAGCAGAACTGGTTTGTTGAGGACACCCCTGCCTGCACTTCTGGGCACTAGATGCTATTGCCTGCAACATCAAGAATAGACAGAGGATGTACCCACTGGAAGCCACCTTTGGAAACTAGAAGTAGCTGCCAGCATCCATCATCAAAATGATTCTTCACAGTTTGTCTTTTTTCCCTGTTAAAATTCAGAGTCTAGCATTGTCACAAGCCCTTATTCCAGCAGCCAGGGAAGCATGGAAGCTAGGAATTACTACTTTTTGCATCTCTACTAGAGAATTCTCCATCATAGAAAAGGAGTTCAGTTGCCAGTCGAACAAAGTGACAGATTACCTTAAACACATATATGAATATTTATAAGAGGCTTCATAATTTCATTTGTTCTGTTCTTATTTAGTCTGGAATATCATAAAACAGTCTGAATATAAGAGAATTTCCAGATTAAAGGACTGTGAATTCATGCTTTGAGACATCTGTAGCCTGATCCAAATACACAGCAATATAGATAAGATACATTCATAAAGAGATAAATACATAAAAAGACATAGCTGGGCTTAGAAATGTAGAGTGATGAGTAGCTCTGAATCTGTGTACTTGCTGGGCTTTAGGTCTGAAAAGTTGTGGCAGCTCAGGAGTTCAGCTCCTGTAAGTATATGGATCTAAAAGTGCTCTGTTCACAATGGCAGACCTGGTCCAGGATTACTGTTTGATTCCAGGGCCTCGGGTAATACTCCTTGCTCCCAAAAGAAGGCTGGGAAAAAAAATCTGCTGTTAACCACTGCTAGAGCCAAGGCTTATTGCTAACTATAGTCCTAGGAACGTGGAAGTGCCCAGTTATATAGCCTGTGACCAGGAAATGAACCCAGCCCTCACTGAATGAATGGATGTGTATAACTCCAGTATCAACCATGGGACAGGAACCCACCACTACTTATGAGACCTGATTCTGGTCTTGGGGGCTGAAGGAGAGTGAAAAAGTTAAGCAAAATTACTAGAAAGTGGGGGGTGAGTAAAGACAAGGGTTGGGGTTGGTGGAGAGTAAGTGGGAGGCAAGGCAAGAAAGAGAAAGAGAGAATGAACTTCCCATCAAATGAACCTTCAAACCAAATTAAAAAAAGAAAAATCCCTAAAAATTTAATGTTAAGAATGACATCCACAAACACAGCAATCAGAAGATTAACTCACTTTAGATTGAAAT